GACCTTATTTCCTTTGGAAAGACTAGAGGAGAAGGAGAAAACATGAGGAGGACGGAGGTGGCCGTTCGCGTCCTCGCGGGGTGTACCCTCGTCGGCAAACGCGCGCAGACCTGGCGCCCGAGCCGAATGGCTCAGCGCCGAGGGCGCCTGTGGCGGTTGAGTGGAAAAGCTGCCGCCTTGGCGCCGCCGCCGCTGCCGTCACCTTCGTCGTCGTTGCCGTCGGCCTCATCGTCATTTTTTTCGTCTTCGTTGCCGTCGCCTTCGTCGTCTTTGCCTTTGGCTTCGTCGTCGCCGCCGTCGCTTGTTCGGCGCGGAAGCAGGTGGAGACTGGTGGCGGAATCCGAGGGTGGGCGAGGGGAGCGCGGGAAGAGAGCCGTTCGGCTTGGGGCAGGCGGGCGGCAGAGTTGATTGCAAAGGCCTTACGGCCAGTGCCGCCAACCCTGAAGGGGGATGACGACGACAACTGCGGCGGCGGCGAAGACCACGACGCTGACGTGGGCCAGAATCCTCAGGGATGCTTGTTTCGGTTTCTTCGGAAGGCTCTTGGTGGCCTCAGGGAAGGAATTCTGGGGCCTCTTGGGAGCCTCTCGGGGGCCTCTTCGGGCAAGCTGGTGGCAGAGCTGATTTGATGGCAAATTTCGAGATCGTAAAGGGTTTTGGTGATACAGAGAAGGTCTGCCGCATCTGCGCGCGGCGCGCCTTGCCAAGATGCGCCAGGTGGACGGAAATCGAATCAGAAACAATTGCATAAACATACATTTTCGACGGTCCGCGCGGATTTCTTGGATCGGTGCCGGAGCCCCCTGGCGGCGCCTCCGGCGCCGCCACTTGCGCGCTCCGCGCGCCAGGGAAGGGGGTTCAGCGCGGATCCAAGAAACCCGCGCGGACCTCCAAAAGTTACTGTTTATGCAGTTCTTCTAGGAAAGGTCGCCCTAGTCGTCCTCGTCGTTGGCGTCGCTGTCCTCGCTCTCCTTCTCGGCTGACTCTTCGTCTCTCGGGGGCGTTGGGCCCCCCCTCTCGTCGCCACGGCAGGCCGCTGCTTGCAAGAAAACGGGCCGGGCCAGTGCCCGGGGCGCGGTCCGGCAACGGGTTCTGAGATCGGATTCTTGCTTTGTCGGGGAATTCGAGAGAGAAGGTGCGGAGATTGTCGTCGTCGAAGGGGGCGGGGGGAGGAAGTGTTCGCTGGTTCTTGGAGGTTTTCTCGCCTGCGGATGCTCTCCAGCAGCTGCGCCTCGTCGGAAGCTTTCGGGGGTGCCCGGACCGTCCCACACGGCCGCTGGAGGCCCGAGTTGTGTTCGAAGGACACCAGACGTCGAGGGGGGCAGAGGTGGGTCTCATTGCCAGGGGAATGGGATCTTTCAGATGTCGTGGCCCTCCTCCTCCTCTTCCTCCTCCTCCTCCTCCTCCTCCTCCCCCTCCTCCCCCTCCTCCTCCTCCTCCTCCTCCTCCTCCCCCTCCTCCTCCTCCTCCTCCTCCTCCTCCTCCTCCTCCTCCTCCTCCTCCTCCTCCTCCTCCTCCTCCTCCTCCTCCTCCTCCTCCTCCTTCCTTCAGCACCTCCGGTGACGAAGGTCCCGACTGACGAAGACCCCACGGCTGGGGTCTCCTGGAATAACTGTCAGGGGTCTCTTGAAGAGCTCCTGGGGGCTTCTAGCTGGCTTTTGGAGAGGCCTCTCGGGGGGCTCTTGGATGCGTCTTGGGTGCCCTGTGGAAGCCTCTTGGAGTCTTTTCGGGGCGCCATGGGGGTGGTCACTGGGGGGCTCTTGGGGACATCACTGCGGGAAAGACTCGAGATATCAGTTCGTATTGCCCCTCTTGGGCTCCCTGTGAGGCCCTCTGGGGGCTCTTGGGCCGTCTTGAGCGCCCCTGGGGCCCTCTTGGGGTCCTCTTGGGCCGTCTTGGTGCCCTTTTGGGGGCCTCATGGGCCGTCTTGGAACTATCCTAGGGGCCCTTTGGGAGGTCTTGGACGCCGTGAAGACGAAAAAGGCGAGTATGCTAAAACTACATCGGCGCTACGAAAGTTTTGACCCGTTTTGTGTTTTCAGCTAAACAACGCCTGAGCATCACATTGGTTATGAACATCACGACGGCCGTGAGCATCATTCCAAAGCCTGAGAGCACCACGGAACCTATGAGCAGCCGAGCGCCGGTTATCACCTTGACGCTAGCACCCCCGTGGCGGGAGCGCCATTTCGAGTTCGAACGGAACAAATGCCGAACCTCATTTTGCAGGAAGTCCTGTGCGGGGGCGCCATTTCGAAATCGAGGCAGAACGGTTTCGATTTCTATGTTTGAGGAAGTCCTGTTCGGGAGCGCCATTTCGAAATCGAAGCAGAAAGGTTTCAAATTCTATGTTTGCGGAAGTCCTAGGCGGGAACGCCATTTCGAAATCGAACCCGAAAGTTTCGAAATCGTTCGAAGTCGTTGTTTCGAGGAAGTATCAAGCGAAACCGCCGTTTCGAAATGGCCACACCGTTTGGCATTTAAGATTGTAAAAGCCCTGACCCGAAAACTCGAAAATGCAGCTTTCGCATAGGACTTCCCCCCCAAAACGAGCTCGACTGGATTTCGAAACCCTCGGGCTCGATTTCGAAATGTGGCTTTCGCCTCGGACTTTCCCCCCCAAAACGAGCTCGACTGGATTTCGAAACCCGCGGGCTCGATTTCGAAAGGGCGGTGCCGCCCGAGACTGGAGCGAAAAATGCTTCAACCGAACATTGTACTGGGGCCCCGCGGCCTAACGGGCCCACTGCCAACGTTGTACTGGGGCCCCGTCGCCTAACGGGAGGCGTTGAATTTTGGCCGAACTTTCGTAGCGGCTAAGTGTAACTTCGAACTTCAAAACCTCATGTCAGTCGTGTAAGATGCCCATGGAACGTCAAAATTTCAAAACTTCATGTCAGTCGTGTAAGATGCCCAGTGGAACTTCAAACTTCAAAACTTCATGTCAGTCGTGTACGATGCCACTTCAGACTTCCAAAAAGTCAGTCGTGTAAAATGCCAATGGAACTTCAAACTTCAAAACTTCATGTCAGTCGTGTAAGATGCCCAGTGGAACTTCAAACTTCAAAACTTCATGTCAGTCGTGTGGAATGCCCATGTAACGTCAAACTTCAAAACTTGTTGCCAGTCTTGTAATATGCCCATGGAATTTCAAACTTCAAAACTTCATGCCAGTCGTGTAAGATGCCACTTCAAACTTCACGCTATCGTGTCTGTCGTGTAAGATGCCCATGGAACTTCGAACTTCAAAACTTCATGTCAGTCGTGTAAGATACCCAGTGGAACTTCAAACTTAAAAACTTCATGCCAGCCATGTAAGATGCCCATCGGCGCTACGAAAGTTTTGACCAGTTTTGTGTGTTTCAGCTAAACAACGCCTGAGCATCACATTGGTTATGAACACCACGACGGCCGTGAGCATCACTCCAAAGCCTGAGAGCACCACAGAACCTATGAGCAGCCGGGCGCCGGTTATCACCTTGACGCTAGCACCCCCGTGGCGGGGGCGCCATTTCGAGTTCGAACGGAACAAATGCCGAACCTCATTTTGCAGGAAGTCTGGTGCGGGGGCGCCATTTCGAAATCGAGGCAGAACGGTTTCGATTTCTACGTTTGAGGAAATCCTGTGCGGGGGCGCCATTTCGAAATCGAAGCAGAAAGGTTTCAAATTCTATGTTTGCGGAAGTCCTAGGCGGGGGCGCCATTTCGAAATCGAACCCGAAAGTTTCGAAATCGTTCGAATTCGTTTTTTCGAGGAAGTATCAAGCGAAACCGCCGTTTCGAAATGGCCGCACCGTTTGGCATTAATAATTTCAAAAAGCCCTGACCCGAAAACTCGAAAATGCAGCTTTCGCATAGGACTTCCCCCCCAAAACGAGCTCGACTGGATTTCGAAACCCTCGGGCTCGATTTCGAAATGTGGCTTCCGCCTAGGGCGCCCCCCCCAAAACGAGCTCGACTGGATTTCGAAACCCGCGGGCTCGATTTCGAAAGGGCGGTGCCGCCCGAGACTGGAGCGAAAAATGCTTCAACCGAACATTGTACTGGGGCCCCGCGGCCTAACGGGCCCACTGCCAACGTTGTACTGGGGCCCCGTCGCCTAACGTGAGGCGTTGAATTTTGGCCGAACTTTCGTAGCGGCGAAGTATATGTTTCCCTAAGAGAATGGGACGATGTTTGCCTCTTGGGGCTCTCTCGGCGGTCCTCTGGGAGCACTCTTGGCCTGTCGCGGGGGGCGCGTGGGCCGTCGCGAAGCCATCTGGGACCGTTGCGGGGCCACCTTGGGCCATCGCGACGCTTGCGTGGACTGTCTTGGCATTTTGTTTATATCAACCGATGGCAGCGCGCGAGGTCTCGGGATGCGTTCGATTGAACACATTAGCTTGATAATCGTTGCAGCTCGTAAGATACGCAACCTTTTACCTGACACAGGGGCCCCTGAACATCAAATATTCATGGCACAGACACATGTGAAACAACTGCTTGCAACGCATCATGCTTTGCTGAAGCTGCTGAGCGGTGCTCATGCGCAAGACTATATACACATAACTTGGTATAACCAGGGTTATATTGACACAGGTGGAACAAGGAGCTAGCACACATTCATTCAAAATCGCACATTGCCAATATCAGGGCCCCCTGGAACTTGACCGGGAAAGAAACCTTGAAACTCAAAACGGGAACAGGACCGAAATTAAAACATATAAAACGTGGCCAACACCGCGGGTCCCAGGCACAAGCCAGTCTGATTCGAATGTGAAACTCGCTGGCGGTCGCGACAGCGACATTAATATCATTCGAATTTGTCAGCGCACCCGGCGATCGGTCTATCTCGCCGAGCAGAAACATGCACAAGGTGTTTCTTCGGAGCACTCAGTCACGAGTCGGCCTCCGCCGACCAACTTGCTCACGTCGGCCCTGTCGGCCGTCATCCTTCTGTCGGCCTTGCCGACCGTCATGCCGAATTGGCTTCCTGCCAAAACGGCCTCTGGTACCCCTTTTCATCTTGTCATGAAAGCTCCATGAGCGTACTCGGGCAGCGACTGGAGCCTCGGCGTGCTGAGATCCAGGTTGTAGTGGCACTGCGACCTGACGAGCACGCTGCGTACCTTTTTCAGCTTCGTCTGCTTCGGGTCGGTCCCGGTCACGGCCGTCTTGGCACTGGCGGGCGCTGGCTCTGTCTCGGGCTTGCGCGTCTTCTCGATATTTTCATGTCATGTTCGAGCTGCTTGGTCCAGTGCCCGCCGCGCTCCAGCACGAAACCAGCAGTATAATGCAACAAAAAGTCCAATCACGAAGCCAAAAGCCACCACCTTCATGATCAGGTCGTTCCAGTCGGCTGGCGTCGGTGGGTTGAACAGCTAGCTCGACGCCGCTGGGCGTATAGTGCACTACCTGACCTGCCGCACTGCCGCCAGCGCTAGCTGCTAGTGCCGCGGCCAGCCTCGCTCCACTTGTGCCAAAATGGCGCTTGCCCTTGGCCTTCGCTTTCTCCTTCGCCTTTGTCACAGGCGTTGTCTCGAGGGTGTCGTGCAGTGCCTCGCCAGCGTCGTCCAACTCCTTTTCGCGTTGCTCCATCGCTCTCTTGGAGATTTTCTTGCCAGCCGCGAAGTCGGGATCGTAGCGCGACGCGTGCACTTCACGGCGTAGCACGTCTGCCATCATCTGGCGGGCTGAGAGCCTGGCAGGTCCGTCCGCCATCTGCCGCTGCGTGTTTACCCACTTCCAGGTGGCGCCTATCTCCGTCATCTGCTCGTTCACGATCTTCACCTCGATGGCCGCCCTCTTCTCCGCGGTGCCCTGGCCTGCCGTCGCTGAGCGCGACTCGTCGTAGAGGCACTCCGCGTCCGTGAAGAACGGCGACCCCCCCGTGTGCACCATCGCTTCTTCGAGCTCCAGGTCGGGTCGTAAGCTCCACGCCAGGTAGACCTACATCAGTGAGTCCGCGCCCAAAGCTGCTGCCTGGGCCTCCGCCGACAGCGAGCTCTTGCACAGGCGCTGCAACTTCCTCGGGGCCCACTCAATGGCCGCGAAAGGCGTCGCAGTGCTGGCGTTGAGCTCGTCCGCGGGTCCGATGAAGATCGCGTGGCCTCCTTGCGAACTGCCGTCGCGTCCGTTTGCCCAGCTCGCGCCGGTGTAGCTGCCAACTCGCAGGTTGATCCAGGCCTTGTCGAACCCGAAGTGCAGCCTCGCGTCCGCGCTGGGCTCAGAAAGCGCAGATCCTCGTTCGCATCCAGTAGGTCCTGCACGGTGGCTCGGCCTGTCGCCGAAGCTCGGAATGACGCAGTAGCCGCTGCTATGCTCACTCCCTGGGCCGATTGCCACTGCAACTATCCATGCAGGGCCCTGAAGTTCGCAAGCTCCTTCGGCGACAGCTCGCTCGCGGGGTCAGCTCCCCGATGCTTCTCGACGGTGATGGGTTTAACCGCGCGCAGGTACTTCTCGAACTTGAGGGTCGCGCTGTGGGTGCTCAGGGACTGCTCCACTTCGCCTCCAGTGAAGATCGGACTCGGCCCGAGCTCCCACTTGTGTCGAACTTGAATTCTCGCCGGGCGCCCCTAGCCGCGCCTGGAAGCACTCGGTGTCGTCGAGCTTCGCGTTGAGATCTTGTTCGTCCGTCGCGCCCTCGCCGCGCCCGATGAAGTCGCCCGCGCGCTCGCCGATCAGGCCGCCCACCGCGTGGGCCTGGCCCCGAAGCCACGCGCGTCGCGCGGGTCGCCCTCGACCCTCGCCGGGCGCAGGGGCAACGACGAGCAATCCTCGAGCTTGCGGTTCCTGAGCCCGATCTCTTTCGCGACTGCGTCGGGGCGGTAGCGTCGGAGCTCGGGCGACCGCGGGCCACCGAAGCACGGCTTGATCATCTTGAGGAGCCGTCCAGGTTGCAGGCTGATCTGGCGAGAGAGCACCCCCCTTCATCTCCTTCGTAGGGCTCGCGCGCAGCTCAAGGCAGCGCGCGCTCAGGTCGTCGGCCTGCAGGAATGCGGACTTCGCAACCGCGCCGAACGACCTCCACTTGCTCAGAGACGCCCAGAGCACGACCTTGCGTCGGCCAAGCCTGCTGAGGGCCAGCGCCTCCTTGTCGAGCTGGCCCTCGGCGACGTCGCTGTGTTTGGACCCTCGGTAGAGTTCGCGCGCGTTTGCCACCTTCTGCCCGTCCTTCATCTTCCATCTGGGTTGGAGGCGCAGAGGGCAGCAGGCCCCGGGATCCACGTCCGCCTCGTTGATGGGCCCCCAGCCGTCGTTGCGCTTGAAAACCTCGAGGGCCTCCAGCTTCGCCGCGTAAAACTGGCCCCCCCGGGCATCAGCCCGCCCTCCACGATGGCGGGGGCTTTCCTTTTGAAGGCCAACATGTCGACCGTCTCGGCGGGCTCCTCCAGCAGCAGCATCTCGTCGCCCACCCCGTCGGCGAGCGCAGCCTCCTCGCTCTGCGGGGCGAGCTTCGCCCGCGACGGGCGGGCGCGATTGGCTGGCGGGATGCCGGCCCGCTTCCCAGCCTCCTCGACGCTCCTCTTAGCCATCGCCTCGACGTGTAGCCTGCTCGGCTCCTGCGCAGCGCCGCCAGACGCGCCGGCACTGGCCGCCACTGGTCCGCCGCCCTTATCCTCGCTGGGCGTCGCCGGCTGGGGATCTCCAGGAGCCGCCGCGGCAGTTGCTCTTGTCGGTCCGTCGGCCTCGCCCGTCGCCGCGGGTGCCTGAGCGCTGGGCTGATGCTGCTCGCCCATGTCGCCCAGGGTGTCGTCGTGCTGGGGCAGGCGCCCCTCCTCGGCGAGGTCCTGGTAGTTGCAGGTCCCCTTCGTCCGCCTGAGCACGCGCTTGAGCTTCTCGATCGCGCTGAGCGGGCTGGCGGGGCCCTCGCCGCGCCCTGCTCCTTCGCGGGCTTCGCCCGGCAGCTCGGGGCGAAGCTGCTCAGCGGTGCATCAGTGGATCGCGCGTCCGTGCGTCGCCCACGCCACTCAGGCGCGCGCCGCGTAGTCCTCGTTGACCTTCGACCCCGCTGCCGCCGCCAGCGCCGGGCCGCGCCTGTGGCGCTTCTCCAGCCCCTGCGTCTGCTCAGGTCGCCAGAGGTAGACCCGCTCGCCGATCTCGTAGTTCCTCCTCGTCGGCCTGCTGCGCGCCAGCAGCGCCGCGCGCGCGGCGCGCGAGCAGTTGGCCTCGATGAAGGCTGTGGCGGCGATCGCCCTCCCGATCGTCATCGCGCGCACCTCGCCCATGGGGTCGACCGGCGCGGCCTGCTCAGACGGGCCAAAGTCTTCGTCGCAGAGGACGCATGGGATCTTCGGTTGCGCCCCCAACGCCGGCGCTGCGGGCGAGAGCCCGCGCGCGCTCCTCAGGGCGTTCCGCTGGCTGGCTGTCATCCCGAGGGCGGTCTTGCATGAGCGAGTCGTCGGGGAACTGCAGAAGGTACTTGCTGAGCTGTTCCCTCCTGGCTGCGTGGTTCCGCTCCATCAGGCCAACCTGTGGCGCGCACCTCTCGGAATCAGGTCGAGCTCGATGCTGCGCTTGCTCATCCAGTTGCGCGTGCGCTTGGCCGCGTGCGAGCCCCCCATGTTCGTCCGCATCGTCTCAGGTTTGCTGGCCCAACTGGTCCAGAGCTTCTCCCATAGCTTCGTCTCGTTCAGGAACGTCTCTTCCGAGATCGGGTAGTCGACATCATAGCGTGTAAACTCGCCCATGATGGACAGGATCTCCCTCTCCTTCTTCATCCGCGTGATGTAGTGCACGTCGGTGCAGGTCACCTCGTTGAACCTTTTGGACCTCGGTAGCACTGCGACGCGAACTGCTCGGGGCCTCTGCCTGCTCAGGCAGATCTCGCACTTGAAGAGCCTGGCGCACTGGGCCCACTCCGTCGATGCACCCGCGTGCTGCATGGCAACCGCCAGCGCTGCTCTCGAAGGGTGGCCCAGGCTGACGCGCGGGCGCTCGACCGTTCGGATAGTCGACGCGCTGCAAGGCTTCATCAGCTCCTGCATCACGTCGGTGTACTCCATGGCGTCGATGTCCTTGCAGACCTCCGCGGCCGCGTTGATGTCGCTGATGTTGTCGGCCATGCCCTGGTAGGCGATCAGGTTGGCCATCGCTCTCGCCATCGGTCTCGGGTAGTTCTGAGCCTGCTGGGCGAGCTTGCCCTGCAGGATCACGTCGTCCTCCGTGCGCGCGCACGCCAGGTTCACGCGGTGAATGATTCCTTTGTTGGTCGACTGCAGTCTCGTGGGCTTCTGGCAGGGCATGTCCGTGCCCTGGACATTGCACTTCGCTCCTAGCCGGCACTGGTCGCGCCTGCAGCGATAACTTGGAAACTTCTTCCACGTCTTTTTCCGCCAGTGTAGCCCCTGCCACGGGCCTTCCACATGCGCGCGTCGGTTTCCGTTCTGCTGCTTCACAAAGGCCGTCAGAATCATCTTGAGAAGTGTCAGCTCTTCTCGCTGCCTGGCGCCGTTGACCTGTTTGGCTCGTTCCTCGGGGATCTTCTCGTTCGCGCGCTGCCAAGGGCACCGGTGCTTGCACAGGGGGGCGAAGACGATATCACCGGGTTTCTCCTTGTCGATCTTGTTCAGGAAGTCGTGGATCATGGCGCGCATGGAGAAGCCCCAGCCGCCTTCGACCCTGAACTGGAGCACCTCGATCTGCAGGAACGCGAGCAGTTCTTGCGACAAGGCCCCCTGGTCCACGATGACTTCCCAGACCATCCGCTTGCGCGGCCCGCGCAGCGTGTCCTTCATGTCGGACGCCGCCTGCTCCAGCGCCAGGGCCAGGTCCGAGTGGGTGTCCGCGTCCATCAGGTGGCCTTCCAGGCCCGCGACCTCCTCCGCGGCCAGGGCCTCGTCGTCGCTGCCGATCTCGTAGAACCCCGTCCGCGTCAGGCGCCGGCGAGTCCCCGTCGTCGCCTTCCTCGCCCATGACCGAATCTCCTTCAGTGTCGCCGTCCGTCGAGTCGCCGCTGCTGCCCTCCCCGTCGGCGGGGGCCCCCTCGTTCAAGACATCGCCGGCGTCGCGCCCAGCTCCGCCCAACAGGTCCACGATGAAATGACCCTTCCCATCGCATTCGGACTTCATCCAGCCCTTGTCGGGGAGATCCTTCATCGTGAACGTTCTGGCTCGGTAGTCCTGGATCAATCCCCACTCTTGCATGCAGGGTCGCGCGATCAGCACCGGCGTCCAACCCTCGACGAGATGGATCGCGACCTGCTTCTTGACGCCGAACGGCCACGCCGTCAGAGTCACCGATTGCTTGGCCTCCAGCGTCTTGCCGTCTCCGAATCGGAAGCGTCGATCGCTCTTGCCGTGCTCGACCTCATGTAACAGCTGCCTCGAACGAAGTAGCTCCTCCCACTGCGTCCACGCCGTGTCGCCCATAACGGGCCGCGTGTCACCTCCATCGCTGATGCCTTTTGCCCGCAGTCAGCAGGAAGACCTCTTCGGTCGAGCTGGCGTACTCCAGCGTCTCTACATCCTCCACCATGCGTGCCTCGTTTTCGGGCTTCGTGAAGCCACCGTGCCTGAAGCGCTTGGTGCTCGGGCCAGGCTGTTGGGTCGCACCCGGTGCAGTCGAGTCCGCTGGCGACGATGGTGCACCCTTACCAAACGCTCCTTTCTGAGGCCGGAAAGCGTCCCGTCTTGGTGGGCCAACTCCTGTGCCGCGTCGTTTATTTTTGCTTGCCTTTGCCAGTCCTTGGTCTCGTCGCTCGCGTGGATCCTGCGCGGCTGCGCATTCGCTGGTAGGTGTTCTCGGGGGCGAGGGCGGCGATCGGGTAGAATCCTCTGGCCTTGGCGATCTCCGCCACGCGCTTCTTCGCGCCCGCGAAGCTGAGGTTGGCCTCGTCGCGCACCGTTTGGGCCTCCTCGACCTCCTGCGGCAGCTCCTCCGCGACGTCTGCCTCCTCCTCGTGCTCGTCGTAGTCATAGTCCTCATCGTCCTCGTATGTTTCTTCCTCCGAGTGCGAGTTTTCCTCGTGCAGGCTTCGATCCCAGTCGTAATCGTTCGTGTACTTCACGTCGTCCTTCAGGTTCTGTCCGACCAGCATCTTCTCTACTCGTTTCACGTCGCGTTTGTCGGGCATAACTTCGGCTCCGTATGTGTGGAGCAGGGTTTTCTTCATTCTCGTCCAGCAGAGGCCGTCCACGCATCAGGAGGGACAAAAACACACAGACACAATTAATCGTCGACCCCCAGGAAAATATGGGAAAATATGGGAAGTGGGGGGGGAAGACAGAAACCCAGAAAATATAGGAAAATATGGGGAATCTTTTTATTTGTGTGTATTTGTTTGTGTGTCCTGGGGCCCCTTCAATAACTTCGGCTCCGTATGTGTGGAGCAGGGTTTTCTTCATTCTCGTCCAGCAGAGGCCGTCCACGCATTGACTACGAGCCTGGGCGGCGCCCGACGGCGGGACCGCCGCTCGTGTGAGGGGGTGCCGGCCCGCCAGTGTGTGTGGGATCTCCATCCCGACCTCCTTAAGCTTCCTGAGTGCTCTTTTGTGGAGAATGCAGTACACCTTAGGCGATGCTTAAGAAAACCTAAGTTTTCGGCCAGAGTCTCGTTTATTCTTAACGTTTCAATGTAAATCTTAAGATTTTAATGGAAACGATGGGTTTTCATTCAAGTTCCGAGACTATGAATTTCTTAACCCATGATTTCTTAAGCATTTCGCAGGGTGTGCAGTTTTATCGTCTCTTTCTCTTGGCGGGCGAACTTGCCGAAGAAGAGATGTGTACTGGCTGGCAGTTCGGTCTGGTCGTCGTACTTGTAGTATTCGTCCAGCACCTGGAACAACGGCCTGAAAGCCCCTTCCGTCTCTAACAAGTCCAGGTCGATGTCCTCCGTAGCCTCCGCGGCCTCACCTTGCAGCGAGTTCGTGACCAAGAACCCTCCCTCGCTGACTGCAGTGGCGCCACGCTTCTTGCAGTACCGTTCGAAGACCTCCAACTTGCGTCGGAAGACCCTGTAGCCGTCGGTCCTCAACAGCTCGTAGCTCGGCGCTGTTTTGGACAGGCCTGCGTCTAGGCCACGTCCTCCTCCGTCCCAGGTGGAGCTCTCCTGTCGGGTCACCAGCCTTGCCAGCCATTCCAATCCGTGTAGTTGGCCTCGTCGGTATCCACGCTGCTCGGCGGGATGCGGCTGCCCTCTGCGCCGGTGTCGGCGGGAGCGGCGGCGGCAGAGGCTGCCAGCGGGCCGCCTGGCGGCCGCTTGGCCGGGGGCGGCGCGCGAGGCGCGCCGTCTGGCATGGCAGCGACGGAGGAACCGGATAATGTGGATCTCCGGCTCCGCTACCAATATCAACCGATGGCAGCACACGAAGTCTCTTCGGGATGTGTTCGATAGAGCAGATTAGCTTGGTAATCGCATCAGCTCGTAAGATACGCAACCTTTTTCCTGACTCAAGGGCCTCGGAACATCAAATGGCAATGGTACAGACACATGTGGAACAGCTGCTTGCAACACATCGTGCTTTGCTGAAACTGCTGAGCTGTGCTAATACACAAGACTGCATACACAGCTCGATATAACTTGGGTTATTGACAGTTTGGGCCCCCTTGAACCGTCTTGGGGCTGTGGAGGGGTTCCGGAGGCGCCAGGGATGCGTTGAGGAACTCGAGCTTCCGCCCCCCCCACCCCCCCGAGTCGGATTTCAGACCGTAGGGAAGGTGGAAAGGGGGAGGGGGACAGGCAATCATTCCACACGCTTTTGCACCCCCGACAAGCGGTGGTCGGCGGAAGAGAGGTTTCCTGTTTACAAGCCACCATCGTCAGACCTATCTCCATCTCGACCTGGATCTACCCCCTCCCGGGTTGGGATACATGCTGTGCCTTTCGGGTGTCGCAGTATCTACCCAGAGGGCCAGACCTCTTCCCTGGGAGTAGTTTCTCGCTCTGGACTCATTGTTGATTTCCTCCAGGCCCAGTGACGCGCCCCAGAGGGCAGAATCAAGGAGAAACGCTGGGATTGAAAAGACCACGTCGTCGGAGATTTGGGAAGGTGCCTCGGCCTGGTGGGGACGGGGACGGAGATGCAGATCTGGAGCGCCGTGCTCTGCTGCGGGCGGCGGCCTGCGGCTGCGGCTGCGACCAGGACGACGAGGCCGACGAGGACAAGGACGACGGCGAGGACGACGAAAGCAGCGCCCCCGCGTGCCTTGAGCCTCTCTGGCTCCGCGCGCTGCGCCACCGAGCTGCGCGCGGCCCCCCGGCTTCAGCGCAGCGCCCGTCGCCCAGCGGCGCTCACCCGGCACGCTCGGGGGCCTCGGGCCCGCGCCGCGCCCCCGCAGCCGCCCCGCCTCCAGGCGGGGCTCCTCGCCTCCTCCTCCTCCTCCTCCTCCTCCTCCTCCTCCTCTGGGAGCTTGCGGGGAAGCTTCTAGGATTAGTGAATATCAGAGTGCTTACGCCTTAGAGGTCTCTTGTAGTTTACGGTCACCCGCCACCCCGAGGGCGAGTCAGTCAGTCAGTCCTCCTCCTCCTCTTTCTCCTCCCCCTCCTCCTCTTTCTCCTCCCCCTCCGCCTCTAGCGACAGCGACCGACGACGGCGTCGTTGGACGTGTGGCCCTCCCAGGGCTCCAGAGGCCACCCGGGCAGGCACACCTTAGGCGATGCTTAAGAAAACCTAGATTTTCGGCCAGAGGCTCGATTATTCTTAATGTTTCAATGTAAATCCTAAGATTGTAATAGAATGTTGGGTTTTAGTTCAAGTTCTGAGACGATGAATTTCTTAACCCATGATTTCTTGAGCATTTCGCAGGGTGCACCTCCAGGGGCTCCCCCTCCCGTGCTGCGGCGGCGGGCCCGCGGGCGGGAGGCCGGCGGAGGGCGGCCCGGGGCGGCCGAGCGGGGCGAGGACCACGTCCTCGGGGCTCCTCCTCCTCCTCCTCCTCCTCCCCTCCTCCTCCCCTCCTCCTCCTCCTCCTCCTCCTCCTCCTCCTCCTCCCCCTCCTCCCCCTCCCCTCCTCCTCCTCCTCCTCCTCCTCCTCCCTTTTCCTCTTTTCCCTCCCCTCCTCCTCCTCCTCCTCCCTCCTCCTCCTCCTCCTCCTCCTCCTCCTCCTCCTCCTCCCCCTCCTCCCCCTCCCCCTCCTCATCCTCCGAGCGCACTCCCATGAGAAGACCGAGTCCCGCCGCGTGCGGGCGTCCTTGTACCGCAGCTAGTGCAACACCTCGAGCTGGGGCCAGGCCTGAAGGCCTGGGGGTACACGACCTCGCAGAAGAACGCCGACTCGGGGTGCGACGCGGCTCGTGGGGCACAGCGCTCTAGCATCAAAGTCCACGAGCGAAGGGGAAGGGCTGTTCCAGGGGGGGGGGCAGTCGGACGGGGCTAAGACGAGTGTAACTCCGTTCCAGAGCGCTCCGGCACGCTAGTTTCAGAGCGTTTCGGAACGCTCTGAGAGGGCTGCGACGCCTTGCACATCCTCCATAGCCGCCAGATCTCAGAGATTCTCGATTCTGCATCACCCGATTTTATCCAGGACCGACCACAACGCCGTTTAGCTTGGATTTCGCCCTTGTTCCCCATATCCTAAGATGGGGTTCTTGTTATTACTTGGACGCCTCCTACTCCTCCTTCTCCCTCCTCCTCTTTTCTCCTCCCCTCCTGTCGGACTTACTCATACTCCCACTTGCTCATACACAGACTTACTCATACTACTCACACCCAGACGTACTCATACACAGACTCACTCATACCCAGACTTACTCATACACAGTATTAGTCATACTCAGACTTTCTCATACCCAGACGTACACATACACAGACTTTCTCATACACAGACCTACTCATACCCAGACTTACTCATACACAGACTTACTCATACACAGACTTACTCATACTCAGCACCCCTAAGGGGAGCCGCCAGGGGTGGTTGCACGGGCTCGTTCGCGGCCATTTTGTGGGGATGTCTCAGGCGGTTTGCCTGTTTCTGGGCCCAACATCCTTCGCTTGGAGAGCAGATTGTGAGGATGTCTCAGGCGGGGCGCTGGTTTCAGCACCCCTAAGGGGAGCCGCCAGGGGTGGTTGCACGGGCTCGTTCGCGGCCATTTTGTGGGGATGTCTCAGGCGGTTTGCTTGTTTCTGGGCCCAACATCCTTCGCTTGGAGAGCAGATTGTGAGGATGTCTCAGGCGGGGCGCTGGTTTCAGCACCCCTAAGGGGAGCCGCCAGGGGTGGTTGCACGGGCTCGTTCGCGGCCATTTTGTGGGGATGTCTCAGGCGGTTTGCTTGTTTCTGGGCCCAACATCCTTCGCTTTCGGAGCAGATTTGGAGGATGTCTCGAGCGAGGCGCTCATTTTCACCCCCCAGGTGGGCCAGATTTTGAGGATGTCTCGATCGGTTTGCTTGTTTTGGTGGCCAGGCTCGTGGGCGCAGATTCTTCTCAGGATGCCACAGGAGGCTCCAACAGGCTCCAGGAGGCCCCAGGAGACCACATGAGGTCCCAGGAGGCATCAGGAGGCCACAGAAAGATTCAAGAGGCCACAGGATGTCCCAAGAGGCTCCAGGAGGCCCCAGGAAGCTCCAGAAGGCCTCAGGAAACCACAGGAGGCCCCAGGAGGCAACAGGAAGCGCCAGGAGGCCTCGGAAGGCAACAGGAGGCCCCGAGAGGCCCCAGGAGCAGGAGGCCTCAGAAGGCAACAGGAGTGGCTCCAATCCCATGTGTTTTACGTATGCTCCTATCGATTGGGCCTCACCTGGAGCACGATTCTTTGATGTTCTACGTATGTTTCTATAGATGGTCCTTCTCCTGTGTACACAATCCTAAATGTTTTACTCATGTTCCTATGTATTGGGCCTCTCCTGGGGCACGAGTCCTTGGTGTTTTACGCGTGTTCCTATAGATTGCCCTTCTCCTGTGGCTCTAATCCGCAATGTTTTATGTACGTCTGTTGCTATAGATTGCGCCTCTCCTGGGGCACGAAACCTTCCTAGGAGGTCCCAGGAGGTCCCAAGAGGCTCCTGGAGACCCCAGGAAGCCCCAGTAGGTTTCAGGAGGCCCCAGGAGGCCCCAGGCTCATGCACAGAGACGCGCTCGTACTACTGAGGCTCATTCACACTCCAATTCATTCGCAGTTAGATTGATGTCCAGACCGTCACAACTGAAGCCCGTTAATATTCGAAAGCTCTTGCGCCTAGACATTCACGGCGGACAGGTCCATGCGAGTAGATGCACATATGGGGAGCTCCACGCAGTGAATTATTTTGCTATTCGTTTCGTTTTTCGTTGTTGTGCCGTTTCGTTTGGCACCAGCTTCGTTTTGAACGTTCGTTTGAAACGTTGGGCATCGTTTGTTGTTCGTTGTAAACGCCATTCCGTTTTAAACATCGTTGTGGTCGGTCCTTTCCGTGGATGTTCTCCTCATCCTAGCTTTGTCTTAGGCAGAAGCGGGGCGCCCGTCCTCCAGTCGGCAACGCGTAGGAGTGACCTTTCGCTGGAGTGACCTTCGATGCGGGCCCACAAGGGGTCCCCCCAGCACTGGCCTGCAGGCTCGGATGTGGCGTCCCCGCGGCCCCCCAAAGCCGCGCAGCAAGCGTCACTCTCACCTAGGGTCCACCATTGCCTGTAGCCGATCTAGACTGCGCTGCTTTCCGGGTTTTGGACACAACGCAAGTTGGACTGCAGGAGTCGGCTGTCCGCATGCGCGCCTGCAGCCCGCCTGTACGCTCACGCTTGCCCACGTGCGCTGCGCGCGCGCTGTGCGCGCGCTCGCGCCCTTTTTGCGGCACCGCGCCACAGTTGGCACGTTGTGATTGTGTGACTGAATTTGGACCTAGGTTTAGCGTGTGGCTCTATTTTCCTTGGGGCCCTGGGTGGCAAGGCACCGAGGGTTGTGTCCGCATCGTTGTGGCTCAAGTCCGAAAATCATCAGCTGCCCATTCGGCTTCCGCAATTGGTAGCGGAGCGGTGCGAGCCCAGGGTCACGGTTGCCGGCTGGCGCGTCCATGGAGGCGTGAGCAGGCACGAGCGTTCAAGGACCTTGCGGCGAACGCCGCTCGGCGCCAGCGTGCGCGGGATCCACGGCGATGCCGGACGTAGAAGATAAGACGGACACACTCGCGGTCATCATTGGCGCCGCGCAGCCCCCAGCAGCGGCAGCAGCAACCGAGGACACGACCGCTGGAGCTCAGTCTGAGCAGATGCGGGAGCTCGTGTGGGCTATTGTCACCAAGATGATAGCAGAGACACGAGTGACTGCTCAGATGGAGCGGAAACAGCAGCAAGGCAGCGCACAGGATGTCTAACAACACGCGTCATAGCCCATTATTGGCCCCCTGTTCGTGTATCTTATCCCTTTCTCCCTTTTTGCTCTCCTATTCTCTCTCGCGTGATGCTGCCGGCTTGAGATAACTGGTTTCCGGTTGCTGGACCGGTGCTGAAAAGGGAGCGTACTTCGAGCCCTGCTGGGCTCCGCCGCCAGCCCCCGCTGCAGGGCCCAGAGGTACGCCGCTGGAGGCTACCCAGCTCCGCAGTGGTAGCAGAGCCCGCCGCCGCGCGGGCGCACCATTTCGGCCGAGGGCGAGAAGATCTACGAGGTGCTGGGTTCAGGCAGAAACTGGACATCGGCAACAGCGAGGACGTGATCACGGACTACTACGACGTGGGCGCGATGGGGCATGGCCATGCGACGTCTACGCAGAGGAGACCGCCGACGATGGGCGGAGGAATGCTCAGCCTGGGTGCGCTCCCTTGACGCGACGGCAGTGGCAGCGCAGGTGCTCGAGACGATTGGTGGCGTCGCTCATCGGTCACTTCGTGGACGAAGGCGTCGCAGTGGACGAGCCGCGACCTTGAGGGCATCCCATCTTGGGACGGGTCGGCTGGAAGGCGGCGGCGCTACAAGTAGGATGTGGCCTTGTGGATAGAGAACATCAACTTGGATGTGAGCTGGTCCTGGGCAGGCAGGGTGGCGCGATGCCAGACGGGGCCGTCGAAGACGCTGGCGGAGTCCATTCCGATGGTCGAGCTGCGCGCGAAGTCCTGGACGCGGGCGCTGGACGCCGAGCAGCACGACGGCGACGCGGATGCCGACGGTGACGAGCAGGATGAGGAACGCGGCCACTGGGAGGAGCCTGACCCCATGGCGGGCATCAACAGGCTGATGGAGGTGCTCGCGACGATGGGCGTTGACGATCCTACGCGCTCGCGGCCAGGTGGTGACTTATTTTTAGAAGCAGCTGCGTCGACGTGCCGGCGAGGATTCGAACGCGTGGATGATCAGGTTCGGCGAGGCTCGAAGCCAGCTGGGCGAGGAGGACGTGGCGCTGCCGGCTCGGACGGCAGGCTGGTGGCTGATCGAGAAACAGGCTTGAGCGACGCGCAGAAGAGCATGCAGATGATTTCGACCGGCGGCAGCATGGAGATTCGTGAGGTGGCGCCGGCAATGCTGAGGGTCTCTTCCAATCTGCGCGCGACGGAGCGGCGCCGCAACCCGTTCGAGCGACGAAAGGCTATCACCTTCAACAGGCCCGGCACTCAGCTGCTCAAGAGGAAGGTGATTCGTAAGTTCAAGGAGGCCAACGAGACAGAGGACCTGGACGGGATAAGCCAGCTCGATGAGGGCGAGCTCGAGGCGCTCAGCGCGGAGCTCGGCAGCTTCGACGGCGACGCGGACGACGAGACGATGGAGGAGGCCCTGACGACGGAGCAGGACCTGAACATAGAGGGCATCCTCGCCGCGGAGCTGGAGGCGCTCTCGACGGTGCCCGAGGAAGCCGAGCACGACCCCGAGCTGGCGCACGAGCTCGGGAACCTGGAGAGCGGCGTAGAGTCGACGATGGAGGGCATCATCACAGCGCGCGAGAGTGAAAAACGTGCGAAGGAGCTGCGGAAAGACCGCAAGTTCGGCAAGGGCGACGGCAAGGGCTCGAGTTCGAGCTCCAGCAGCGGCGAGAAGTTCATGAGCAGCTTCAGCAAGGGCAACCAACCAGATAAGAGGACCGCGGATTGCCGCACCTGCGGCCAGACCGGTCATTGGGCTGGCAACTCCTGCTGCTCGACGCTGAAGGAGTGGAAGGTGGAGCTGGCGAAAAAGAAGAAGCTACAGCAGCGAGTTAAGCAGCGCGATGCGCTGGCGGTTGACCTCCTGGACACGAAAGAGGGCCAAGAGGTGCTGGGGGCGAACGTAGCTGAGGAGTCCGAGGCGTTGATGGCCATGACTGCGGAGGCGACGGACGGCGCAGGCGCTCCAGTGGACGCGCTGGACACGCCGCCCAGTAGCAAGCCAGAGGATCAGGAGGTTCTCCTGTCCTCTGTCTCGATCGGCGGAGAAGGCGACGACGGCGCGTTGGACTCTGCCTGCAACGGCGCGGTCTCGGGCGACGCCTACGCCGCCAGGATCGAGAACCGTTGCAAGAAGCTGGGCATCGACATCTTCTGGCTGGTCCACCACGGGGGGGGGCATCATATTAAGGATTTGCAGCGTCGCTAACATCATCACCCCCACTGTCGTTCGCATCATCACTGTCATCGCGCAACGAGCAGTTGTCATCATCGTCGTCACCATCATCATGATCACCATCGCCATCATCGTCATCACCATCACTGTCATCATCATCACCATCATCACCATCAGCATCATCATCAGCCACAGCGGTTTCGGCTCTCGGACGCGAGTAGCTCGCTTTTGCTTTTCGCCGCCCCCCCCCCCCCCCCCCCAACCACCAGCAGCCGCCATGGGCACTAAGAGGGCAGGTGACGCGGGGACCCCGTCGCCTGCGAAGAAGGCGGCGGCCGCGGCGGCCTCGCCAGCCGCTGCCTTTGGCGCGCCGCCCGCCGCTGCCTCTGGCGCGCCGCCCGCCGCTGCCTCTGGCGCGCCGCCCGCCGCTGCCTCTGGCGCGCCGCCGGCCCTGCGCATCGCGCAGCTCCTCGAGACGGACCAGTCGATGCAGCAGGGTCACGTCAAGGAGTGGGTGCGCCAAGTGAAGCACCACGTCGACCATAGTTTGCTCAGCTTCCTGGGGCAGCGCAAGCGCGAGGTGTCCTTCGCGGTGCCCGCCAAGTGTTCTTTGATTCCGCCGTTGGCCATCGCTGATGCTGCCTCTGGCGCAAACCTTAGCTCGTTTCGCGAGCTCATGGACTACCACAACCTGGTTGCGAGCTTCTCCCGCACCAAGGAGTGCGAGGCAGCGGGGGCGGCGTGGATGTTGGACCAGATTTGCTCGGACATCGACGACGCCACCGTAAGCCAGCTCGAGGGTGCCATGGGCACGTGGTCAGAGGAGGCCTACTCTCTCTCCTCCAAGCACGCCCCCTCGCTGCGCCTCTCCTTCGACGCGCCTATCCCCGCCTTGGTGGTCGACGTCGAGGTCGCCCAGCGGTTTGAGCCTAACAAGCTTGGAGCTTGCTTGACAGAGGCTCTGGCCATGCTCGCGGGCCGCACGGCGGTCATCACGTGGCGCGCTGCTATGGGCAAGGCACTCCAGCAGTCCAACGAAGACCGCGCGTGGCATTTGTTCAATGCCGCGTTGTCCGTGCCCATCAGGATGCGTTTGCTGCCTGATTGCGACGCGACCCACTTGGCCGCTCTGGCATTTTCAAAGAAGCTGTTCTCTGCGTATGCTGCCTCTGGCGCTGAGTCCTTCTGGCGGTTCGCAGAAAAAACGCGCCGCTTGACCAACGTGGAGAGCTGTTTCGCCAAACAGTAACCAGTGTCGAAGCTGGGTGCCGCGCTGAAGGCCCACGGCCTCCAGTTCAAAGGAAAAGCGTGCACCGCTGCAACCGCCGCGGCGCTGAAAGGTCTGCGCCCTTTCGTCCTCGACGGTGCCTGCAGTTCGGCTCGCGCGCTGGCCGGAGCGCATTTTCCAGAGTTTCGCGACCGGGCGCTTCTCAGGAGGATCGGCTTCGCCTGCTCCGCGAGGGGTGGTTCTGACGCCAAGGCCAGGGAATTGCTCGTTTTCATCATGAACAGATTCCGCGTGGCCCGCTTGACGGGCGACGTCCCGAAGGACGAGAAACTGGTCGTGAGCAGGGTCGTCGGGCGCGATAGGAAGACGCCAGGGATGCTGCACGCGCTCTTCAAGAAAAAGGAGCTCGTCGAGTACATCTTCCACGAGGCGTTTCTCATGAACAAGGAAGTGGGGAGCGACATGGCGGCGTGTAAGACGCCTCTCCACATCCTCCAGAAGTTCGCTGCCTCTGGCGCGGATGGGCTCGCGGCTTCGCACCGCGCGTCCGACTCAGGCGGCGGCGCCGACGGGATTGAGCCATTTTTTGCGCCCCCCGTGGCTGAGCATCGGGACGCCGTGGATGTCAAGACGAAGGCGATGATCGACGTCGCGTGGCCTCTGTGGCCGAACGCTTTCGACGACGAAATTGCCGAGCTTGCCCAGCAGGAGCTGCAGAACAGCACCACTGCGTTCGTCTGGCACACGTACCTCGCCGAGACCAGCCAGGGCGTTGGCGCCAAGTGCCGCGCCTTCGTGGCCGCGTGCACGGGCGGGCCATCACCGCCAACCCCGATGAGGATGCAAATCTCGGCTTGTTGGGGATATCCGAGCTCGGGGACGAGCAAAAGGCAGAGCTCCAGAAGCTCCAGGAGCAGCTCGAGCAGCTCCGCAGGAAAACTGTGAAGTTCGTCAGTTTGCCGTCTGTCGGCGGTGCCTCTGGCGCGGAGTACGCAATGGCGCAGATGCAAAGCTTGTGGGATGCGCTCAGCCTCGGGCACCGCTTTGGGAGGAAGAAGAACGACGTTCGCGCTTTCATCCTCTCAGCGGACTTGTTCCCGCCCAACGTCGTCACGCAAGGCGCCGAGGCTAGGGTGAACGAGCAGGCGGCGTGCGACGGGGCGAAGTTCAAGCGCGTCATCGAGTTCTTCTTGCGGAAGAGGCAGAAGGATGATGTCCTCATCTTCCTCGACGGCATGAGCCGCGCGAACCGCAGGGTAATTGAGTCCTTCGATGCGAAGTTGGGGTCAGGAGGCACCCGCGCGCACGTCGAGTGCTGGTTCGTGCACGAGCAACAGGCGAAGGTGGACCCGCGGTCCGCGGCCAGGGCGTCGAGCTACACGAAGAACAACAGGGAGACAGCCATTTTCTCGATGCCACTCAGGGGCCCGCCGCAGAAAGTGCTGCACCGTGCGGAGTTCAACGCGTGCGGCGGGTCCTCGACCGCAGACACGTCATGCAGCGGTATCCCAATGCGGCGTTTCTCCGAGCTCCTTCGCATGGACCACGAGGCGAAGATGAGCATCTTGGGAGCTGCATCTCGCGCTAGCGTGAACGGGAAGCAACCGCGCCTGCAGGGAGACATCGACTCGAAGGGCCACCCGTTCTCGCACGCCGAGGTGAAGCCGCCCAGCTTGTGGCAGACTCTCGTGGAGCACCGCAAAGTGACCCACGTCGTGGACTTCGCTCCAGGTTCTGGCGCTTTGGCTGTTGCTGCCTCTGGCGCAATTGAGTACGAAGGCATCGCTGTCAACGATGCGCACCGGGGCTGGCTCGATTCCATCGTGGACAGGTGCGCGATGCACAAGGCGGGCCACGAGGAGGGGCACGCGAAGCAATTGGGCGGCGACGCCGAGTTCGTCGAGAAAGCCAGCAAGTATTTCAGCGGAGCCATGATGGAGGCGAAACGTTTGTTGATGCCAGTGGCCGGGGACGGCGAGGATGAGGAGGAGGAGGGCGGCGCGAGCTCGGACGACGAGTAGGTGGGCATTTGACGCACTGCCTCTGGCGCGCCACGACGCTGCCTCTGGCGCGCCCGTTCCCGCGCGAGTTGTCGCTCGAGCACTCGTTTCCGAGAGGGGCCCAGTGGCATCGGTTCTGAGGATGAGTTCTGCGGCGGCGCGCGACAGTGATGTAGGCCCCACGGCTGTCGGCGGCGTCGGCCCTTCTGAGGCGCGAATTCTGCGGCAGCGCTCGGCTCGGACATGTCGCGCCCGCCGCTGCCATCGCCGCAGGTCGCGGCGGTCGCGATGTCGCCGTCGTCATCGCCATCGGCGCAATCATGTTATTTGTGGTTATGTCCCGTCATGTTCTCATGGTATTGGTTACTATATCCCATGTCTCCTGCTCAGTTTTCCTATGGTCGCGCTTAGCTTTCTCATGGTCGGGTCTAGTTTTTTTCCTTTGGTCGGGTCTAGTTTTTTTCTGGTCAGGTCTAGTTTTTCCCTGGTCGGGTGTAGTTTTCCCCTGGTCGGGTCTGGTTGTTTTCCCAGATCACTCCGAACATCCATTAGGACCTCGCCGCAACTTTTCGGCTCGAGCCCGCTGCTACTCAGTGCTCCTCGCTTCGCCACTAGCGCACTCATGCCGCCTGATTCCGCCGTGCGCGAAGCCGCTGCCTCTGGCGCGTCGCGCGCTGCGCGGTTTCCACGGCGGCGCGACGGCCGCACTTCGAGACCGCGCGCGTCGAAGCGGTCGAAGCGTACCTGCTGGAGCAACGCGTCAGCGACAGGAAGATCACTGGGCGCATCGTGCTGAGTAACCATGCCTCGACGCGCCCTCAAGTGCACGGAGGCGCTTTGGTCCCAGCCGCCAGCAAGTGCAAGGAGTGCGCTGCCTCTGGCGCGGGCTGGCGGTGCACCCTGACTTTGCCGAACAGCTTTGCGCCAAGAGATGGCCGTCGGCTCGTTGCGATAAGGGGAAAGCGCGACGAAGGGGGAACGTCGGAACTCGCTTGCCCCCGAGCCGTCGCTTCGCTCGTCAGCGAAAACCCTGGCCAGTTTGTGCTCCGACCGAAGCGCTGGGGGGCGCCGCCCGACGAGCTCGCGGCCAATATGCCCGGCGCCGCAGCCGACCCTGCCTCCGGCGGGCACGCGCTGCCAGCGCGCACCCCTGCGCGCCTCCAGGGCGCGGGCTCAGAGGCTAAGGCGCCTGACGCTGACGCGCGCTTGGTTGAACTAGTCAGCGACGCTCTCAAAACGCACGGCGGTGAGTTCGATCCGTCGCGGATTCCCCGCGACGAGTTGTGGCGGCGCGACGAGCGCGCGTTCGAGACGTTCAACAAGATTTTGGCGCCTGAGAGGCTGAAGGACTTCCTAGATAGACACTTCGACGAATTCGCCTGGCGCGAGAAGGCCGACAACAAAGGCATGCTCATCACATGGGCGAACTGGGCGCGGCGGGAGGAGCGCGCCCCGCCATGGGCGCGCCCCGCCATGGGCGAAGTGGACGCAGGCACTGCCTCTGGCGCGCCCCGCCTTGGCGAGCGCGCCCCAACACGAAGTGGTCTCAGGAAGCTGCCTGAAGCGGCCGAAGGGCGCCCGCCAACTGACCGCCCCCAGGAAGCGGCCTCAGGAAGCGGCCAGAATGCATTGCCTCTGGCGGGCCCCGACAATTCACCGCCCTCAGGAAGCGGGCAGAACAAGAGCAACCCTTGGGAAGGCGACCTTCGCTAGGAGATGGTTGCCCGAGACACTGCCTCTGGCGTGGCCGGCTCGCTGCCTCTGGCGCGCCCGCGACGCTGCCTCTGGCGCGCCTTCTGAGGCCAAGGCGGCGTCGCGGCAGCCGGCGCCGCGACGCTTGCGAGCGGAAAAACTAGTCGTCGTCATCGCCGTCATCGTTGTCGCCATCGTGACCACCGACATCATCAGCGCCATCAGCGACGCCATGGCCACCGACGCCGTGACCAGGGAAAAATAAACCAGTCTTGTTATCTACATGCTTTGTCGATTCCCGAGTTCCAGGACCCAAGGACACTCCCCAAGAGGATTCCCCGACGGCAACTGCGCTTCCGGCACCGCGCCCTACAACGACGCGATCTCCAACGGAAGGTACAACGAGCATTCCGACGTCGGATCTACGGTCTCACCCATCCCCACTTCCGCGCATGCCCACCCATCCCCACTTCCGCGCAAGCCTCCACAACAAAGAAACCCAAACAGAGTCCGCACGGGTCCCCGCAAGATGTCTTCCGAAGCGTTTGGGATGCAGAGAGATCCCCATCGAGCCCCTTGGAGTCGTCAACTTGGGGGCCTTTTTGACTTCGGTTCGAAGCCTCTTTGGCCCCAAATGGGCGGGTTTGGCGTCCATTCCGAAGCTGAGTCGGGCACCATCGCCAACTACCGCGGCAACACCGACGACATTGAGCACCGCAGCAACGGCAACACTGACTCTGGATACTGATGTGACTTTGGTATGGCCTTATTGTGCCGATCACGGACTCCCGGCTCCGGCTCCAACCGATTGGTATAACATATTCCGGAATCCGACGACCTACGACAACTTACACCGCGATTGGCATTGCACATGTAATGGGCCCGATTGCGGCAGATATGCCAAGATTTCGACACCAGGTCCGACGCAACACATGGGACCATGGTGGGGAAATACACAACATTCCGGATTATGGTGGATATCTTCCGGCACGACTGGTATGGACTTGCGGACCAGGGGGAAAATTAGAAAAAATAATCCCGACAAGGGGAAAAGTATACCCGACCAGGGGAACACTAGATCCGACCAGGGAAAAACTAGACCCGACCAGAGGAAAACTAGATCCGACCAGGGAAAAACTAGGCACGACCACAAAGAAAACTAGGCCCGACCAGGGGGCAAATTAGACCCGACCAAGGGAAAACTAGACCCTACCAGAGGATAATTTGATCCGACCGGGGAAAAACTAGACCCGACCAGAGGGGGAATAAACCTGACCAGAGGATAATTTGATCCGACCAGGAAAATTTAGACCCGAGCAGCGGAAAACTAAGTCCGACCACGGAAAAACTAGGCCCGACCACAAGGAACATTAGACCCGACCAGGAGAAAACTGAGCCCGACTAGCGGACAACTAGCTCCGACCAGGGAAAACTAGATCCGACCAGGGAAAAATTAAACCCGATCGCAGGAAAAATATACCCGACCAGCGGAAGACTACGTCCGACCAGGGAAAAACTAGACCCGCGCAGAGGAAAACTAGATCCGACCAGGGAAAAACTAAGCCCGACCAAAGAGAAAACTAGACCCGACCAAGGAGAAAAACTACAGCCGACCATGGGGAAACTAGACCCGACCAGGGGAAAACTAGACCCGACCAGAGGAAAAGTAGATCCGACCGGAGAAAAACTAGACCCAACCATACGACAAATAGACCCGACCAGCGGAAGATTAGATCCGACCAAGGAAAAACTAGATCCGCGCAAAGGAAAATTAGATCTGACCAAGGAAAAACTAGGCCCGACCACAGGGACAACTAGACCCGATCAGGGGAAGAACTAGACCCGACCAAGGGAAAACTAGGTCCGACCAGTGGAAAACAAGACCCGACCACGGGGAAAACTAGACCCGACCGGGGAAAAACTAGACCCGACCACAGGAAAAATATACCCAATCAGCGGAAAACTACACCCGACCAAAAAAAATACATTCGCGCAGGGGAAAACTAGATCCGACCAGGGAAAACTATGCCCGACCACAGGGAAAACTAGACCCGACCAGGGAAAAACTTGACCCGACCAGGGGAAAACTAGACCCGACCAGGGGAAAACTAGACCCGACCAGAGGAAAATTAGATCCGACCAGAAAACACTAAACGCGACAACAGGAAAAATAGATCCGACCAGCGGAAAATTATGTCCGACCAGGGAAAAACTATAGCCGCACAAAGGAAAACTACATCCGACCAAGGAAAAACTACGCCCGACCACAGGGAACCCGACCAGGGGAAAAATTGAACTTGACCAAGGGGAAACTGGACCCGACCAAGGGAAAACTAGCCCCGACCAAGGGAAAACTAGGTCCGACCGGGGAAAAACTAGACCCGACCACCGGAAAAATATACACCACCAGCGGAAAACTAAGTCCGACTCTGGAAAAATTAAACCCGCGCAGAGGAAAAATAGGTCCGACCAGGGGAAACTAGGACCGACCACAAAGAAAACTAGACCCGACCAAGGGAAAAACTACGCTCGACCAAGGGAAAACTGGGCCCGACCAGGGGCAAACTAGACCCGACCAGAGGAAAACTAAGTCCGACCAGGGAAAAGCTATACCCGACCATGCGACAAATAGACCCGACCAGCGGAAAACTGAAAACTAGGTCGGACCATGGAAAAACTAAATCCGCGCAGAGGACAACTAGATCCGACCACGGAAAAACTATGCCCGACCACGGGGAGAAATAGACCCGACCAAGAGAACAACTAAACCCGACCATGGGAAAACTAGGTCTGACCAGGGGAAAACTAGGCCCGACCATAGGGCAACTAGATCCGACCAGGGAAAAATTAAACCCGACCAGAAGAAACATATGCTTGCCAGCGGAGAACTGAGTGCGACCAGGGAAAAACTAGACCCGCACAAGGGAAAGCTTTATCCTACCAGGGAAATACTACGCCCGACCACAAGGAAAACTGAACCCTACCAAAGGAAAAGTTTTACCCGACCAGGGGAAAACTAAACCCGACCAAGGGAAAACTAGACCTGACCAGAGGAAAACTAGGTCCGACCGGGGAAAAACTAGACCCGACCACAGGAAAAATATACCCGACCGGCGGACAATTAGGTCCGACCAGGGAAAAACTAAGTCCGCGCAAAGGAAAACTAGATCCCACCAAGGAAAAACAAAGCCCGACCATCAAGAAAACTTGACCCGACCAGGAGAAAAACTGGAGCCGACCA